AAAGAAGCATATACCAAAATAGAGATTGCAATAAAGAACACCGAGAATAAAAGAGAAATGGCCGTTATGGTATCAACCGCCAACAAAATAAATCTATCAGGAAATGGTGTGCCAAAAGTGAGTAAATAAGACTACCTTAATCAGTTAAATTCAAGGATGGTTATTCATGTAAGGAATTCTATGGATCTTTGTAACATTAATGAACCTCCCAGGGATACGTTGAATTATCGGGAATATAAAATAAGGCCCAGTATAACTCAACACAAAGGCGGTTACACCTCCTGGCATTATTCCACTCAAATATTCCACTTTTCCAATTAATTTGAATAAATTTAATTGAATGAAACTAACAAATATGATCAGAGATAAAAAATATTATACAAACTTTCAAATATTCAATACAACAGAATATCAGAATACAGATATAAAAAATCCACTGAAACCAATAAAAAATCGTAAAAACTTGACCAAGAAATTCCGTAGGAACCCAGATGCTCTGATAAGAGGGCATCATTTAGGTCGGCTCGTATCGCTGGGTCTGTAGAAAAACAAATAAGGAACTCGCATTCCCTGGGGCTTGAGCACATATTCTTTCTGTCCGGTCTTGAGCAAGGAATCGTCGTACTTCAACCAACAGATCATGTGAAAATTTCAAATTTACTATAATTTCCTAATAACCCAACTTTGGTTTGCAAAGTGTTTGTTGATGATTATTTCGTCACAGTTATGGTTGTGAATTCTCTGCATTATAAACACTAAATGAAATGAGAAGTTCAACAAAAAGTTTATCTTATAAATTATTTATATACAAAAAAAACTAAATCAAGGACAACTGAACTACACAATATTTTCATTAAAATTATAGTTTTTTATTGAATATAAGCAAACGCATCCTCCCCATCTGCTCCAGCACCGTCGCCATCCTCCAATGAAGAAAAATTGAGGAAATGAGCCGGTCTGTGAACCTCGTGATAAAACTCTTTGGGATTCGCTAGTTTCAGGTCATAGTTCATACTAGGATCGTGCCGAACACCTGAAATTAAAATGAANTACATCATTAAATAATTGACTGAATGTTTCAACAATCCACTTTTTAACAATCTTCTTGAATAAAGGAAATTATCTTATCAGTTTAATATTGCTCGGAATTTTGTCATATTTGTGAAGAAGTGAATATTCATGTTTTTGCCCTGTTTGATCATGTTTCATTTTTTATGTTATATATAATGTTATGAAAGCAAATTTTATTTCTATCTTTGAATATATGTATAAGTATAATATAAGAAAACAATTGATAGATATCCACTTTCGGTATATAACAATTCAGAAGTGTAGTTATAATCTTTATTGAATATTATTATAAATGAAAGCTCATTTATAATACTAATATTTTATTTTTAGTTACTGTTGGACATGTTCCTAAGTCTCTTGCACCACCAAACTATCACTAAAAATTGGTAAAAAGTCTATCTTGTTTTCCGCTATTTTGACGTTTTTCCCCTTGGACCTATTTCTTTAACATACATATCATAGGGGTGCATAAAAAAGTAGTCCACCATCTTTAGGAATCCGCCATATTGGATTTACAGTAACGTCATTTTATTTTAAATGTTCCTTTCAACAAACTCTTTTATTTGACCACTTATATCATGGGAGTGTATGAAAAGTAATGAGTCCTCCAAATTGGATGCGGTAAACAGCTATGCAAAATTTCAGCCATGTTGGTTGAGGTTAAATAAAATTCAGTTGCAAACATATATACATAAGTTAAAATATAGGCTTATGATAAATTGTGAACTATTATATCATGTTAGGTGTGTATTCAAATTACTTTGGCTATACTATAAGAGCATATAAGTTCAAAATGGAAAGTTTTGTAGGAAGATCAGACAAGCTAAGTTTAGATGATAACCTTTCCCCAACACTGAATGAGTGGAAACAAGAATTCAGTTTAATTTAAAGTGAAATAAAATTACTTTAAAATTAAGAAACAGATGTTAGCAATTGTGTTTGCAAAGTGAAGTGAAGTATTCATTGTCAGTGACCTCAAACCATTAGTAAATAGATAAAATGAATGAATCCAAATTGAAATGTGTGTGAGTTAAAGCTCTGGAAAATATTTAGTAGTGGCTGATCATTTTCCAAACAATATTGTTGTGAATTATCCCCTGAAACAAAATAACGCCGGCCTCCGCTGGTCTGTCATTCGATTGGGACTTGGTCAAAAGTAAACTGAAGAAAAGATATTGTGAACTGAAATGAAAAATTGATTGATAGATGGGTTGAATAAAAAGTGAAATCTAAAATAATATGCCAACGGTAATAAAAATGAAACAATGAAGATGAAAGATGGAAAAAATCAACAATGTTGAAAATAAGAAAAGAAAACAGATCTGAAACCAACCTAGTTCACGATTTTTGATTGTTAGTAACAGGAGATAACTAGTCTATTTCTGATACTCTGATAGGTCATTTGGTCACTTTCAACTTTCTCTTATCGATTTTCTGGTAAGTGCGCCGTGAACCGTTTTTTCGATTAAATGTTTCCATACGTTTCGTATCTCCACACTGCCCTGGCTGAAGCTAAACACATCGTTGTTCATTCAACATGCACGCAGCTCCTTTGTTGGATTGGAATTTGTGAGGCTGCTACCTGTGTCAGAAGCAGGTTTTAATGGTATAGTTAGTCGTCGGACGTAAGGGTGAGATAGCAGCGATTATGGTGGCCTTTTCAACTTGCTGGGCCTTGTTGTCTTCCAGCTAAAGTATGCTCCATCAGATTTTTGCATGTAGCCTAGTTCTTTGTCAAAACTTTCCTTGGTGTTACAGAGCCCGAATGCTCTATTGACTAGGGTTCTAACGATTCCTCACTTAGTAGTTTGATAGTGGCTTAATTCATAATTCAGGTACTGTCCTCTGTGAGTTAGTTTTTGGTGTACAGATATTTCCTACTCAATATTGCCTCTTCTCCATCACGTCTAGACACATCAATTCATTGTGGATTTCCTTTTTCATTGTCTATGTTACGAAAGGTCTCACGCAGTTGAGGTGCTTCAAAAAGGTGTTCAGTTTCATACCATGAAGGTGTCGTCAACGCATCTCAACCAGACTTGGGGCTCCTTCTAGGCTTCGACAATAGCCTGGATTTGAAACCATTCCATACATCTGTTGGCTTCAGCGGTGAAAGTAACAATTGCATTGGCGATTCCTGTTTTTGTGTGAAGAATTCGTCCCTCAGTTGGAAACAGCTGTTATGGACACAACACCATAATTATTTCATGTTTTTCTCTGGCTCCCAGGTTTTCGTCTAGCGATAACTTCTGTATGATCTGAAATACATCTTCGACAATAATATTTATGTTTGAACTTTCAACGTTGATGTTGGTGGAAACTATCAGCTTTATCTCTATGTTTTGTAATAAACCTTTTGATTCAGCTTACAATTAATTTTTGGTGATCATTCTATCTTGCACCGTCGATGGTGTCCTCACCTTGTCGTGGTGGTGGGTCTTGCGTATTTTTATATTATCGAGAGCCATGCCATCGATATTTCAGCTAATCTGGGCCTACCAAGCCAAACGGGTCGAGGGAAAAATCTGAAGAGGAAAGGTACCACCCCCTGCGGCATCTAGGTTAAAACGAGTCTGCGTTAACCCTTGTATGTTGTAAGAGGCAACTAAATATGGGGCTCAATCGGGTGGTGAACGTATGCAATAGACCCACATTCGTTAACACGAGGCGTAGGTAAGTGATATACTCAACATTAGGTACTACATTTATGAGTAACTATGTTGAGAAATGGAATGTGTCTGATGAGAAAAGTTGTTCAGATTATCGGCATATAAAATTTGAAATCGAAGGGTCTCATATCTCATCAAATTCACCGGAAACAAACTGGGAAACCTATAAGACAGGCCTGAAAACTTTTTTAGGGCAAATTGGTTTTATATTAGGAAATTCTACAGTACACGCCACGACTCTCCCAACTAAATTACTATTAGATTATGACATGCACCTTGCCGGCCAATGTCGTACCTATAATTAGTTTTAATTGAGGTAGCAAATGGACATGACTTCTTCGTAATTTCTTTTATTAGTATTATAGGTAGTAGTAGAGTTCATTGAAATGACTTGACAATAACAAAACTTAACAACAAACATGATTTTTCAATTTATCGTCAAACGGCACATACAAATATTAATTATAATTCATAATTCGTCCACCCACCCGTATTAGCACAAAGTAGCAGCTTTCAAAAGTATGCACATTAAAATAACAAAGAAAGTTCAGTTTCAGAAAAATCGGGAGAGTATAAATTAGCATGTGGGTCATGTCAGATTTTTTATATAGGTCAAACTGGAAGAACGTTCAAAACCCGCATGAAGGAACACAAATATAGTTTTCAGAATGGAAAAATAAATTCCACATATGCGTCATTTAATCTCAGAGGGACATGAGTTCAACCATGAATACAAACCCCTCCATTTCCAGAAGAAAAATTTGAAACTCAACCTGTTGGAGAATTGGAGAGTATGAAAATTAACAAATTCAAAAACTCTCAACATCTTATGAACGATCAAACTGAATTGAATAATTCGCCATTATTGAATCTGTTCGTTTGTAGGTAAAAATAGTTAGGTATATTTACAGGTATACTTTCGAAACATTTATTGACACTGTTAATGAATTCACACCTGACCTTTCCAGGTAGATTCATTATGTAGATAGACAATTAGGTACTAGGTTAGAGTATAAAATGGTTGTAATTTAGAAGTAACTCTCAGTGTATGCTTGAAGAAACTATTGTATAGCGAAACACGTGTCGCGGTTTTTGTAAAACCCTANTCAATTTTCCCCAAATCAACTCAATGGGATTGAAAACACAAAAATAGGGGGATGTCTCAGTATGGTGTGTCCATACTTTTCAGCAATACTTTCAGCATACACTTTTTCAAATGTATTTGTCTGTAAAACTCCAAGTAGTTGGTTTTGGTATAGTAATCTTCAAAATACAAATTGTTATCCATTAAAAAACTTTGTATTTCATCTTTTATCAAATTTGTATTCTGTATGTATGATAGGAAGAATGATAGGAAAGGAAGCGTTGTCAAGAACTATTACACTCTATTTGCATCCAAATTTGGGATCAATATGTTTTCAAACCATTCCTCAAAAATATTAGCTTCCATGTTCTTATTACAGTTAACATTGCAGTTCTCAAGTTTTTTCCACATGATTTCAAAGAATGGGCTCATTTAACATTTTTTTTATTTCATTATTTGAAAGTTTATGTTTCAAATAGTACATCTGCAAAAAATCTGAAATTTCACTCTTCATCTTCCCCCTCAAATTAATAGTTGAATGTGGTCAAGCTTGACATCACATCAGTCGACTCGGCGACAAGGGAGTGCTGGCGGCGATTCATAATCTCGAAGCTCGTTGCCTGGTGTGACGTCAAAATGTATCGCGGGCGATCTCACATTTTCAATTGCTCTTGCTCAGTTGTTAATTGACATAAAAACCATCGGCTCAGAATAATTACAGGGTTACTAACCGGTCATTGTCCGCTTAGAGGACACCTGAATAAAATGGGGCTGTACAACGGAGACCTCAGCTGCAGATTGTGCAACGAAGGGATAGAAACAGCTCTACACATATTATGCGAATGTGAGGCACTGAATCACAGGAGGCAGGCAATATATGGACGTACAAAATTACGCCCAAAAGAATATAACGAACATCTTACACGGAACCTGTACAAACTAGTACAGGGAACGAGACTGATGGAATGGGTGTCATGAGAAGATAGGAGAATAAACGCAATGAGCCCAAGAGGCTGCAGTGTTTTCTGGAGACTTAGACTAAATGGACAAGTCAGGCAGCTCCCAAGGTAAAAAAAAATATTAGACAATGGAAGTCCGCACTGATGAAATACACCACGAAACATTGTCAACCACCTTCAAACAAATTTAAATGAATTAAAGGAGAGGATAAGGCAAAAGTGTGTGAAATAACACTAGGCCAATTATTGA